TAGAACTTTCAAAACTTTCCCAATACCCTTTCAAAGTCTCAATCTTCCTTCTTTTATAATTCTCCAAAAGGTGTCTTGGTATCTCTTCAAAATGTGTCTTGATTTGATGTATTCCCCCAAGAGAAGCATCCTTTCGCAATAATTTTTGTCCATGGTGGTTGTAACCATCTATTTAGTCAATAAGTGCCTCAAAAACCACTTCAAAATTTGCAAAATTGAATTTACTCATCCAATAACCGCCACTGGCCCTTAAGCGCGGGGCCTCTGACGTTTAGGCGCGGCCTTCTCTGTTTAACCGGCGCTTAAGCTCCGGATCTGGCACTTAGGCGCCAAAACACTTTTGCACATTTTTCACTTATTTGCTCTAAATTTGATCTTTTTTCACTCCTTTAAGCATTTTTCACCTTTTTACTTGTACTTGAAATAAAAACACAAAAAAACCTTCCATTAAAGCGCAATATCTCAAAAATAAGTATAAAATAAGTCTAAAAATACTATATATTTTAGGTGTATCAGTGCCCCACTTGATAACTAATGTTGGAGCTTTGACCTCAATTCTGGGGCACCATGGTGCTCCCTCTAGAATTTGCACCACTTCATGTGGTGCCATAGTGCCACCTCACCACATAGTGCATCCTAGTGCAGCTTCCTTACAGTGCAAGCAGCATTTGGGCACCAAACATAAATCTTAACTTTGACAAATCAACATAGGGACATATGGTGATCTATGTTCTCATTGAGTATCCCGATTCAACAAAGATGAAATTATCTAAAGGATGTAGGCACTCTCATGCATTTGGAGAATCAATATTTATGTTATTTCCATTGTTTTTTTTTATGTGTGGGAAATTTTGTAAAGGAGAAGGTGAGAGATCAAATAATTTTGAGAGGGAGAAGATTGTATGAGGAAAATAACAACCTTAAGTGAAAGAGGAGCACAAATTTGCCTCAAAATTTGAGGTTCTTATCTAGTTTTTCTTTTCTAAAACTCTATGTAATTTCTAGATTTAATGAAGAAATTGTTTATTTTGTTGTTTCAAGGAATGAATTGTCACTTGTCTTAGCTTCTTTTCTGGTTTGGTGAGTAGAAGCTCTAGGGCTTTCAATGTTGTTTATGTGACATGTGTAATCCAATGATTTGGTGATATTTTATCCATTAAACCTTCTATTATATAAAATATAGCCAATTGAATAGTTAAAAAACCATTACAAACTATAATTTTTGGGAGAATGCATAATAGAACAACTGGATTAAAATTCATTTACTAGGAGAATTGAAAAACTGCTCTTTCTTAAGTGTCATCTTATAGGGAAATATTTATTAGTAGGGATTTCATCATTCTTAGTGAATTATACTGGTAGATTGTTCTAGCTTCACTTTTTCCATAAATAAGGGCTAAAGAAGAATTTTATTCCTCAGAGCTAACATCTTAATTATCATATTTTCAACCCTAATTTTTTAGGATCTTGATCAAGAGAGATATTTCACTTGTGTGATTTACCTCTTACAATTATAATAAGATTTATATTTTTGTACAAATTAAGTCAGAAAAATTCACAAAAGGCCAACTATCAAACTTTCATGCTAAACCTAAAACTAATAGGCTACAATTTTTATATTTTAGGAATTCGCTCATTCCTTGTACGATCAATACATAAACTTTGCTCCGTATACTAGCTGAATGGAATGTATACTTTTGTAATTTGTTGTTGCTTAAAAACACTTATTCATATCATTTATGGTAGCTCGACAACAGAGATCTACTAAGAGAACATATTCTCTGGCTAGTATGGCGCTTTAGTATTACCAACCTGATGCCTACAGATTGATGCCAACCCAACACTATTAAAATATTGGATTTCATCTTCCTTTTATAATGTTGAGGGGACTCTTCTGTCCTCAGGAGCAAGAACTTCATGTCGGGGTTGCCAGTCCTGCTCTCAATTTAGTTTGTATTTGATCATTTCTAGTATTTGATCCTTTAGATCTTGGATCTGCTAGTCCATGAATTCCATAGTGTACTGCATGTTGTCATTGGTCTTCCTGTTATGGGGTCATTCTCCTTGCATTGCTCCTCTTTTTGATGATAGCATGATCTACGTTCATCACATCTTTCAGGATGTTGAATTAGATATTATTCATGAATCACAACCAAGGAATAGAGTGAAAACGGAAAGAGTAAGAGCGAGCGAGCGAGCGAGAGAGAGAGAGAGAGAAATAGAGAGAGAGAGAGATGAACGATAAAGAATAATATTTTTTAGTGTTGATTCTTCATAAAATGTTTCACTTATTTATAGAGAACATAATATAGTTATGAAATTACATTTTTAACCCCATTTGGAAGTATTTTTTGATATTTTACAAGTATATGTTTGTCGTGTGCCTACCTTCTTGCTTGGCATGCTAAGTTTAGTGGACTCAGATCGATAGGGTCAGCTCAATAAGGTTGTCATGGTATTTTTGAATTCGATCAGCCAATCCGACCTAGTTGACAATCTTTAATCTCTAAGGAGGAGTCTTCAAGCCTCCACAAGAGGGTCGCAGATACTCTGCAGAATTGACACTTTCTTTGGATTGGCTTGAATGTCATATAAGCTGCCACTTAGAGCGGACCTTCCTTCAGTGCATGGCTCGGACGGTCGCATGCATTGCTTCCGATCCCATTTTATTCTTTCTACCCGTGTATGGCGATATATTAAATCGTTTCAATAACCAATTTATTTTTTCAAATATGATAATTTTTTAGCACATAATATATCTCTCTCCTCTCACATCGCATATTTCTCCACTTGGACTTTTGAGAAGAAGAAAAACAGGTAGAAATTTAAAAGATAAAAAATTTGTAGCGCACAATCCGGAACTGAATGGCGGCGGAGAAACAGTCGGACTGCGATAAGTCTAAATATTTTTTTATTTTCTTAATAATTTATGATCTATAATGAATAGATAATTGAAGTGTAATTTGAAATTTTCTGAGAAATTAATGATTTGGGTCAGTTTTCTAAAATAATGATTAAGTTTCAGAAGTTTTTATTTGGTACCGTTTAAATAAATTTTGTCCCGAAACGTTGATTGAGACGAGGTAATTTTCCCCATCTTAAATACATTTAGGACTATTTACCCAAAGCCACAAATATCTTTCGTATTTACATATCTAAAATAAAAAATTTTGATTTTTTCATTTATACCACTTTATATAGGAACCAAAAAGTGCAATTTACTTTTAGGAAGTCAATGATGATGATATTTTCTATGTGATAAGAAAAACTTCTGTCTTAGAAATATATAAACAAAAATTTTGGTGTTAGTTATATGAATTCATAAAAATTTTGTGGTATGTGGGTAGATGCTCCAAACATTTAATATGGTATTTTCTTAATAGTTCATTTATGAAAACAAGAGAAAATATTTCATTTTTTTTTTCAAAATATTTCGATACAAAACATACTATGATAAAAAATATTATTAATTTTTACATTTTTTACCAATTATTTTCAGCCAATCTTTTGTTAGACGGTTCCGATGTAAATTACTGAAAGAAATTACTGTCCATATATATTACGAATAGTCGTAGCATGAGATTATTTTAGCTATTTTATCACATTCACATGCTTTTTATGAATCAAATGTGTTCTGTATTTTAATTATACATATTTATATTTAAATAAAAAATTAATTATGATAGAATTTTAGAGATGATGATAAGCGGTAATACAATTGATTTTTGAGCAATTTTTTTGTATTTTTTATTTTACTTATGTGTAAGTAAGCCAAGTAAGCCAAGCTAACATATGACCCAAAAAAAAAAATTGAGTTGTTAGCCTGTTTAGGAAGCTGCTGAGAGCTCAAGTTTGTCGTGGCTCATCTTGACTTGTACTTAAATTCATACTAAATGATATAGTCATCATCGGTCCAATCTTTGAAAACATGACTTAAAAATTTATCTATTTTCATGCATGAAACTTGATTTTTATCATCAATCATATATTTGAGGAACAACCTCACTCTAATTTCTACTCAAACTTTTTTACTTTTGTGTCTTCACCTTACAGGTTAATTACGTTGTCTCCCCAAATCGAGTCCTAATTGATCTCATCGAGAGAGTTTTCATCATTGTATTCTTTAACGAGTTCACACACGAGGTCCCATCAATTGTTGATGTTTCCTCTAAGATCCCAAAAAATCTCCTGTCAATTTTCTCTGCATCCTCCGGCAAATTCATGCAGTTACAATCTCCACTGAGCACTGTCATTGACTTCTAGGTCGAGCCCATGACTCGTGCATGAGTTAACTAGTTTTTCAACACAGACAAGATCGAGCTTTTCGATTGAGCTAGAGCTACATTTTATGCATGCAATTAAGTAGACAGATTGAGCTCTAGTTAGCCCTGACACAAGAACGAGTTGAATCTTTCACAGCTCTGTTTTACTTGTTTAAATTTTTATCTTTTGAAATCAACTCAACTATTAAATGATTAGTAAATAGCTCATTTGAATCAAACCTAGCACAAACCATTGAAGAAAAGTAAATAAGCCATATGGGTAGCTGTTCAATACTCGCTCCCTTAATCAACTACAGAATTTAGCACAAACCATTGAAAACGCACGAACTATTGTTATTTCTTTGTTTTTTTTTTCTAATTAAGATTAGCACCAGAATCCCAATAACTTACAAATCTTTTCTTAATCTCTTACTAATGTTATAGCACAACACAAACTATCGTGAAATAAGAGAAATATTAATTTAATACAACATGGCATCAAAACTTTTTCATTGACTTCCATGAATCTTTAGCAAGCGGAAAATGTTTCCATTTTTCTATAACCTGATGTCAGCATCACTTCTAATTCCAATATGTCAAAAGCCTCAAATTAATGCTAAAATTGCTCCTTAATTAGACATGTAATTCAATCTCACTTTTTTTCATCTTCTCCTTTTCATATTATATAGCATACATGAAACCGTTATACTCTCTCACCATCTCTCACACTCTCTGCTTTCTCACGATGGCACTGCAACTACCCTACACCATTCTTCTGCTTCTTTGCATCTCCAGCCTGGCAATGGCAGCATATAACGTGCTGAGCTTTGGCGCGACTCCGGATGGTCAGACGGACTCAGCATCGGCATTCTTGGACGCATGGGGAGAGGCCTGCGGCGACCAAAAGCCGGCGACTTTGGTGGTGCCAGAGGGAGACTTTTTGGTGAGTCGGGCTTTGTTTAAGGGTCCTTGTAATAATGACAACATTCAGGTGCTCGTAAAGGGAACCATTGTTAGAGACCCTGGCTATTCCACCACGCCAGAGTGGATCGCTTTCAAGTATGTGGAAGGACTTTCCGTCTCAGGCGGCATGTTTGACGCTCACGGACAGTCTCTATGGGCCTGTAAGGCCGCAGGACACCGCTGCCCCGCTGGTTCTACGGTAATTTTTAATATTTATTTTTTTCTCTCAAATGTGTACATATATATATATATATATATATATATATATAAGATTGGATTAGATGGTTTCCAAAGGTTAAATTGGACTAAAAAAAGCTTTTTTTTTATTTTTCTTTTGGGATCCAAAATAATTCGTTACAATTGATTGATTTTCTTTTTTGAGAAGGGTATTGTGCAATTATTTATTTTGGTATAGAGTTGAAAATTTTGACTTGATTAATGAAGTATTGATTTCAAGCTGATTGTATTCATTTCAAACCGTTGTTTACCCAATATGTGAACCCAAATTGAAATCATTCTTGAAGTTTCAATGTTTCAGGCATTGACAATTAGCCAGTCGAAGAATGTGATCTTGAGTGGAGTAACGGTCAAAAACAGTGAAAACTTCCAGATCTCAATCATGTATAGTCAGGGAATAAGAGTGGAAGGAGCCACGATCATTGCACCGTTTGATAGCCCTAACACTGACGGAATCCACATCCACACAACGAATGGTGCAACCATCATAAACTCCGCCATGAGCACAGGCGATGATTGCATCTCTTTGGGCACGGGTGTCATCAATGTTTGGATTGAAAACATCAGATGCGGGCCAGGCCATGGCATATCCATCGGTAGCTTGGGTGAGTCGCCCGAGAGGTCCGCAGTGCAAAACGTGACAGTGAGCTCGGTGGTCTTGACCGGAACACAAAATGGTCTTAGAATTAAAACATGGGCGAAACCCTACAATGGATTTGTGAGAGGGATTAAGTTCCAACATGCCATAATGAACAATGTGAAGAACCCTATTATTATTGATCAGAATTATTGCCCTGATAATCATAATTGCCCCACACAAGTAAGTATCATAGTTTAATGAAGGTGATTAATTAGTGTTATTAATTATTAATTTTGGTTGCAGAGCTCAGGGATAAAGATCAGTGGTGTGGTGTTCGACGACGTGAGGGGGTCTTCGGCGACAGAGGTGGCGGTGACGCTTGATTGTAGTCGGAGCAATCCATGCAGTGGGATTGAGCTTAGGGATGTAAGGCTAAGCTATGATGGCGAGGAGAAGGCACAAACTTTCTGTAGAAATGTGGAGGGAGAGAGCTCAGGGTTGTTAATCCCACCTAGTTGTATCTGAGTTCTATGTTTACGAAAATTTTGAATAATAATAATAATAATAATAATAATTGTTATTATTATTATTATTATAGAGAAGTCTCCAGTTGGGTGGTCAGTGGTTGGTGTGGCAGGCTTGGTTCGGAGAGATGGGTAGTTATTTGTAATTTTATGGATCAATTTGGGAATGTTATTGAATTTTGAAATTTATTTTTTGTTTCTTGTTTATCTGAGAAAAATTTGTTTGAGATAATTTTGATACAAGTTATAATTATGATTAGGTTTAAAGCTGTTTGATATAGTTTGAAATAATTATTGGAAAGAAATTAGTTATTTTTTAATGTGCTGTACTTGTTTTTAAACAATTTAATATAAAATTATATCGATAATTACATTTATCAGTCAATTATTGTCCTTAATCTTTTCTTAGATTAATTTTCAGTTAAAGTAGCTCTCACGTAAATCACCGCAATTAATTGCTGTTTTCAGTTAAAGTAGCTCTCACGTAAATCACCGCAACTAATTGCTGTCATATTTCATATTGAGGATACTGTTACCGAGGGATTATATGTTTTTTTTTTCAGTTTCATTTACTTTTTATTGAGCAAATGCCTTTTACGTTTTAATTGGGGAAATTAAATACAAAGTACTCAAGACATCGCTATTCACAGATGTAGCACTATTTCATCTACTTTTTAAATTCTTTCTCGAATATTAAGATTCACCTTGAAACTCCAACCCATAACTTCCATTTTTATCAAATTATTATTGGTTTCATCATGGCACCGTTAAATGTATGATCGGTTCAAAAAAATTCACTTGGGTGATAGTTCTGTGAATAAAAATATTTCAAGGGTTTCGTATGTAGTTATCTCATTTTATTTATATCTACATATGTTAGAATATATAATATTTTGAACTTGTTGCAAGAAATGGATGGCGACCAAAACCGAACGGCAGCGGCTGCCAGGTGGGGTCCGTGGCGGAAGATTGCGAACCACCGATCCCACCTCTCATATGTCCATCAAATGTTCTCTTCCTCAATTCTCAAGCTCTCTCGCAACCCCCTTGAGAGGGTGGGCTCTATTTTTAGTGTCTCAGTTACAATTAATGAAGAAATATAAAAAACTTTGATCAAACTGCACAAAAATGTTCCATTGATTAGATAGAGATTAATGGACTTTTGAGTTTCTCAATGATGTCGTAATTGAGCCATCTTGGACGCATTGGATTTGACTTATCGAGACACATGATTCGATTATAAGCCAACCGGATTGGAAATTTATTTGACCTTCCAAATGTGACCGGAAAGCTTTCAAAAGTTTTTTAATGGCTTGATAGGGAAATATTTGACTCGAAGACCAATTTTTGTATCATTGGGTTAGTTTCATTGAGCCAACTAGCTTGAGTGAACATTTACTAAAATCATAATTCTGATTGACTTTTTGTCAAAGCTTGAACATTTATTTCTCAAAAAAGTGTATCGACATCCATATCATGCGTTGAGATTCATGTCAGATGATGAATCGTTGATGATGTGTGAGATGCCCCATATTTTTTTAGTGAGACCAATTCTGTGGTCCTAAAATATTAAAATCCAAAGCTTTTAATTGTTATCATTTACATTCTTTATCTCAAAAATCCCAATAGATTGAACAAAAAAGATTCCATTTTACGTAAATCACCTAGTGATGTTTCTGTGACAACGAATATTTTTGAAAACATGCAATGTTGCAATTTGGTAAGGTGGGGAGTACAATTTGGTTCAGTACACTCTCTCCTTCCATGTCTTTTTCCTTCGGAGACATTTACACAACTTGCTTCCTTATAATGGCGTTGTAAACCTCAAGGGGCTGAAAGTTGCTTCTTAGTGACCACTATGTAGGTTGGAGGAAGACTATGCTGATCATCTTGTCGCCACCCGAAACTCGTCATTCGCGGTTGTCACCAATTCCATTTTTTTCATGTCTTTTCTTGGTAAAGATGTTGGTATTGTCATTTATCTATCAAGGAGTTGCCACTCTGTTTGTTTGTTTTATTGCCCTATTCTTCAATTTACCTTAATCTTTTGGATCAAGTGAAAGATCCTTAGGTATTAAGGAACAAAGAAAAAGGTAAAGGGCAAATGATAGAAAACAAGAGAAATGTTGGGTGATAAACTTATAGAGAAGACTCTAGAATGTCAAACTCTCATATTAGGAAAACCACATAAAAGGACCGATAACCAGAGATTTAGGTTGATTTCCTATTCTAAATTCTTTATTCTCTTATAGAAGCAAATTCCTATAGTTAATTATATCTTAGGTAATTCTAGATTTACCTAAGAAAACTCCTGATTAACGCTAACATTCACTCTTGAACAAATATCAAGATTTGAAGAAAGACAAGTTAATGTTTAATCCTAAATGTTGTTTTGTCATATTATGTAATTTTTGTTTGTTTTTCAATCTCGTCCAGTTTTATGTCATGTTATGTTGTTTTATGTTACCTTGTCTTTGTTATTCCATTTTGTTTCATTTTTGTTTTATACTATGTTTTTTTTGTATTCGTCATGTCATTTTTGTTTGTTTTTGTTCATGGCTTTTTCATTTTTGTTTTATACTATGTTTTTTTTGTATTTGTCATGTCATTTTTGTTTGTTTTTGTTCATGGCTTTCCTACAAGTTTTGGTTTTGTGACTATCCTATAAGTTTTGGTTTTGTTTCATGTCATTTTATTAATGTCATTTTGTTTATGCCGTTTTATTTATTTTGTTTGTCAGCTTTAGAATATTGTACCTACAAAACAGAGTTAGCCAACACTAATTACATGCAAAGTAAATCTAAAGCGTGCATTTGTCTTGTGTCATCTTGCAAAACAAGATTAGCATGAAATTATATTTTGATTTATTAAAAAAAGGTTATGAATTCTTAGATTCATTGTCGATTAAATCTAAAGAGCATGAATTTTTCTTATATTCATCGTCGGTTGAATTTAAAGTAATGATTAAGCCTAATATGAATTAAACTTAAAAATTTCAGACTCATTTTCGATTGAATCTAAGAGTTTTTATGAAGTTTAAAATAAATTAGGCTTAGAAGTTTTAAATTTATTGGATCTAAATAATTAAGATTTTTAGATTCATTGTCGATTAAATCTAAAGAGGATGTTGTGCTAGGTTCAATTTGAGTTGAACCTAAAGTTGATATTAACTTAGGTTCAATTTTGGTTGAACCTAAGATTTGATTAACTTTGTTAACTTGAGTTCAAAATGGGTTAAACCTATCTTTGAAGTTGAGTTAGATTCAATTTGGGTTGAACCTCAAGTTGATGTTGACTTATGTTCAACTTTAATTAAACCTAAGTTAAGGGTTTGATTTAGGTTCTGTATTTATTGAACCTAAGGGTAGATTGAGGTTTAAGGATAATTAAAACTAATTGAGGTAAGGTTTAATTGATTAATTAGACATAATTAGGGTTAAGTCTATTAGGGTTTAAGATTAAAACTAATTTATGTAATGTTTAATTTATTAATTAAATTTAATTAGGGTTTAAGGTTCATTAAACGTAATTTAGGTGAGGTTTAATTGATTAATTAGACATAATTAGAGTTAAGTCTAATTAGGGCTTAGGATTAATTAAACCTAATTTAGGTGAGGTTTAATTGATTAATTAGACATAATTAGAGTTAAGTCTAATTAGGGCTTAGGATTAATTAAACCTAATTTTGTTAAGGTTTAATTGATTAATTAGACATAATTAGGGTAAGTCTAATTAGGGTTTAAGGTTAATTGAACCTAATTTAGGTGAGGTTTAATTGATAAATTAAACATAATTAGGGTTTATGATTAATTAAAACAAATTTAGGTGAGGTCTAATTGATTAATTAGACTTAATTACAGTTAAGTCTAAATAAGATTAATTAAACCCAATTTATGTAGGGTTTAATTGATTAATTAGACTTAATTATGGTTAAGTCTAATTAGGATACAATGTTAATTAAACCAAATTAGGTAAGATTTAATTGATTAATTAGACTTAATTAGGGTTAAGTCTAATTGTGGTTTAAGATTAATTAAACCTAATTTATGTAAGGGTTAATTGATTAATTAGCTTAATTAGGGTTAAGTCTAATTGGGGTTTAGGATTAGGTAAACCTAATTTAGGTAATGTTTAATTGATTAATTAGACTTAATTTGGGTTAAGTCTAATTAGGGTTTATGGTTATCGAAACCTAATTTAGTAATGTTTAATTAGGTTAATTTGGTCTAATTGTAGGTTAGACCTAATTAAGGTTTTGTTGAGTTAAACCTAATGTAGTTAAGGTCTAACAAAGTTAAATTAGTTCTAAATGTGGTTTAGACCATATTAGGGTTTAGGGTTAATTAAACCTAATTTAGATAAGATGTAATTAGGATAATTAGATCTAATAAAAAGTTTACTTAATTATGGTTTTGATGAGTTACACCTAATGTAATTAAGGTTTAACTGGTTTTTAACTAGGTCTAACAATGGTTTAGACCTAGTTAGAGTTTAAGATGTTTGGGTTCACCTAGATGGACCTCAGTGTCTTTGTTTGGTCAACCCTAAATTCAAATTAAGTCTAGGTTGATTAGATTTAAATGTCTTTTCTTTTAAGTCTATGGGGTTAGACTCAATGGTCCTGAGGAGCTGGTTATAACCTATGTCATTTAGGTTTAGGGATCAGGGTTTGGTCAACCCTATGTGTCACTAAAGACTAGTGTCCAAGCTTAAAGAAATCTAGGGTTAAATATGTAATTTACAATTTTGAACCTAAATATGAAATGTCATTTTTAAAATTGTAAATGGTAAAAAATTTGTCTTTTTAGAGTTCAAAAAATGTCACTCTAAGTTTTCTAACCATTTCTAACTTTAATTCCCAATTTCTTCAATTTTTATAATTATTTTTAAAGATAATTACAAAATTTGATAGAAAGTAGGAAATTGAGTTTTAGGGAGTTTTCTAGTCTTGGAAAAATCAGGGAAAGTTCCTAAGAGCTTAAAGATAATTCCCTAAAATTT